GTTTTTTATATTGTACAGGATCTTATACGCACAATTAATATGAATCTTCGTATGAATATTGCTGAGGGCATAAGCTTGCAACCACTTCCCACAAAATAGTCAAAAGGATTACGTAGAATAAGGCCAACTTGACTTGAGCCAGACCATTTGGATAGTCTTCTAATACAATCTCTCTCCTATCTCTAGACCTCAACTTCGAGGCCATAAAACTGTTGGTTCGGTTGAAAAGCCAATTATGTTTGGTTACAAAGCCATTATTGCTTTAAAATTCAACCTCATGTCAACCCTACCTGGTCTGGTGGGGTTGATTGCGGGGCTCAGACTGATCATTCTTAGAGTAGCTTGAAAGGAACGCATTCAGCAAACAATAGTCTACTGCATGCATTCGAATACCCAATTAAGGTCCTTGCTTTTTCATCTTTTTGTTTCTTCTGCAAAGAGGGCAGGCAGTGCATGAACTACATATAATGCTTTGAATGTGAGCAAGCAAATTGAACAACTTTGAATACAATTGATTAAGGGGTTGGTTGAAAGTAGCAATCATACTATCAGTCTATCATCAATATCATGATAAGAAAGATGAAAAGTCTGTATGTCATGGATGAAAAAAGTGGAAGATTTTTTTTTTTTTTTTTGTATTTCTATGTTTTACCATTATATTCACATGTACAAAATTGATTACTTCATTAGACCTGTTGATCGTCTCGTGTCTTAGTGGGATCGTGTCCAAAAATTCTTCACGTATACCTACTTTATTTATTATTCGTGTCATAAAAGGTTCGTATAATGTATAAATCATATATAAGTGGTATATAAATGAGACGTGTCGTATATTTGATTTAATTGTTTCATCTATTTAAGAAACAGATGACTTAAAGACTCCAATTTTATATTGTGTTAACATATTATGACACATCTACACTCCGTCCTATTCAATAGAAATAGAAATATAAATATAAAAATAAAAAATTTATTTTTCAACACACATAGTGTAGTGTAGTGCCGTGGGTTTGGCTTGGATGGCATAATTAATAGCTGGCATCCTAGATACCAGCGCATTTTAGCATCGGGGCAGAAATAGAAAGCAAAGGACAGATTGGGGGAAGGGGTAAAGCAACATCGCATGTGCCTCCATGTGACCACAAAGGTTAGGGACAAGCAACACAGAACAGAGCAGCAAATAACTCCGAAACCTCACCTCCAGAGCTTTGTTTTATCAATTGTTCCACTACAATTGAACCATTCAAATTAATTATTCATGGCCTACCACTATATGAAGACACATTTTGTAAACACAACAACTTTACCTTTTCTCTCTCTCTCTCTCTCTGTCTCTCTCTCCACATACACATTATTCCAGACATTATATTACAGTACCCTTTTAGATCGATTTTTCTTTTCTTTTCGTAGAACACATCATGTTGTTGGATTTATTAAATTTAATCTTGCTTCGAGTTGAGACCAAAATTAAGATGGGCCGCATGGTCAAATGTGTAATATGACAAATGTGACGTGTTTAAATAATTAAATGATAAACCCAAAATATTTCACTATAATTTATCCAAAAGAAATCTACAATTGTACAAAACTCTAGTTTCCCATCCCGCCTCCTTTTGTGGAACCCGTAAAATCTCTCCAAACATGTATTTTTATGGATTCAGGTTTACTTAAATATATTTTTTATTATTTTTTTTTAAAAAAAATGTCATTTAGATTTAATTTGAGAATCGTAATTATTGAATTAAAAAAAAACTCCGTCTAACATTAAAACTCATAATTAATTCAACTATTATATTGAGTTAGATATCTAAATTAAATTTTTAGGGTATAATGTGAGAAATTTAATAATTAATGATGCAAAATAAAATAAAGATAATAATTGAAGGAGATAAAATATAATTATCTAAAATCTAATGATCATATTTTATTTTATTTTATTTTTAAATTTAAATTTAAGGTTTTTTGTTGGAGAGTTCTATATTAAATTAAACTTTTCACTTGGTTTTTTTACTCGGAATTTAAACAAGAGTTTTGGAGCATGTGATGGTAGTGTAACTCCCTTTTTCTTCCAACTCAAANTTGAGACCAAAATTAAGATGGGCCGCATGGTCAAATGTGTAATATGACAAATGTGAGGTGTTTAAATAATTAAATGACAAACTCAAAAAATTTCACTATAATTTATCCAAAAGAAATCTACAATTGTACAAAACTCTAGTTTACCGTCCCGCCTCCTTTTGCGGAACTGTAAAATCTCTCCAAACATGTATTTCTATGGATTCAGGTTCACTTAAATATATTTTTTATCATTTTTTTTTAAAATGTCATTTAGATTTAATTTGAGAATCGTAATTATTGGATTAAAAAAAAATTCCGTCTAACATTAGAATTCATAATTAATTCAACTATTATATTGAGTTAGATACCTAAATTAAATTTTTGGGATACAAAGTGAAAAATTTTATAATTAATGATGCAAAATAAAATAAAGATAATAATTGAAGGAGATAAAATATAATTATCTAAAATCTAATGATCATATTTTATTTTATTTTATTTTTAAATTTANAATAATTAATGATGCAAAATAAAATAAAGATAATAATTGAAGGAGATAAAATATAATTATCTAAAATCTAATGATCATATTTTATTTTATTTTATTTTTAAATTTAAATTTAAGGTTTTTTTGTTGGAGAGTTCTATATTAAATTAAACTTTTCACTTGGTTTTTTTACTCGGAATTTAAGCAAGAGTTTTGGAGCATGTGATGGTAGTGTAACTCCCTTTTTCTTCCAACTCAAANTGGAGAGTTCTATATTAAATTAAACTTTTCACTTGGTTTTTTTACTCGGAATTTAAACAAGAGTTTTGGAGCATGTGATGGTAGTGTAACTCCCTTTTTCTTCCAACTCAAAGGATGCTTCCAAAACACACTCATACGCCTACGCCTACACTGTCTTATAATTATCTCTCCTCCCTGCCTCTCACTCCCATGGCCATGTATGTCTCTTCTCTCTCTTTCGCAAAGGAAAGCAGGTCCCCCTTTCACCCACACCACAACCATATCTCAAACACGCCTCACCAATCATTCATCTTCTCAATCCCAAGCAATCCCTCTCTATCCTCACCAAAAAGCCATCATTTTTTCCCAATCATCTCGTCATTAAAAACCGTAATCCTGATTTTAATATCCCCACTCTCTTCTCACTTCTCACCACCCTTCTATCAATTCTTGTAATCACGTCACGGCAACATATAAATCTCAATTTTAATTGACAATGACTCGGCTTTTCCGATCTAAATCGTGTGGACTCGGACAAATCGCGATGGACTCCGTGTTTGACTCGTCCCCACATAGTTCTTCTTTGTATCTCACCAACGACAACGACGAAGACGAAGACGAAGATGACGATGACGATGGACTCCTTGGGAATAGCAATAGCAATAATCCAGTTAAGACGCCGTTGATAATGCCGGAACGTCGAAACCAGGGTCATCACCAGTTTCCAATTGTGGCCATCTTGGTGGCGGCGTTGAGGAAGTCTCTGGTGACTTGCAGTGTGGAGACAGAGGATTTGGAGTCGTCTATGGATATTGGTTGGCCAACCAATGTCCGCCACGTCTCTCACGTCACCTTCGATCGCTTCAATGGTTTTCTAGGTTTGCCCGTCGAGCTCGAGCCTGAGGTCCCCCGAAAGGTCCCGAGCGCTAGGTTCGATTTTCCAATCGATTTCTCTTCTTCTTCTTCAGTTTTTCTTGATAAGTAAGTTACACTACATTCTTCAGTATGTGTGTGTGCTTGAATTTATGGACCTTACATGTTTTGACTCGACTTGATGGCCTTCCATGTTTAGAATTTTTTCCATCTGTGGAAGTTCGAATTTGGAACGTATTGAGATTTCTTGGTGGTGCAGGGACCCTAATGCGCGATCTTGTTAGTCATTATTTCTTCAAGTACTCTATATTAAAGTAAAACTAACAGCGCTCTGTGCGATACATGGAATCTTCAGTCTCTCATATCACAATCTTACCACCCCTACTGCCACCTCCACCCCCAGCCCTATTGCCACCCCCTGATCCCACCTTCACCTCGACCTTCATATTATTGGACAATTACCTATTATGTGGTAAACTTGAAGTATTTTTATGGGAGTAATTACATAAGCCACATAGAATAATTTAATTTGATGAGATCAATGTATTATTATGAAATAATTCAAAATTAAAAAAATATAGTACTTGATGAGTGATGTATCATAAGCATTCTTTGAAATTGATTGCTATAGTATACAGTAAATATAGATTTAGAGGAGAAAGAGAGTGTGTGAGAGAGAGGAAGAAATGGAAAAAGGGGGAGATGGTGGGAGAGAAACTTGGCCTATTCACATACACGCCCATCTAAAACACTAGTGGTGCCCTGTACGATACACAATATTTTTAGTCCCTCCCATCATGATCTTAGCACCCCTACCATGCCTCCCACCCCTATTGCCACCCTNGAGAGAGAGGAAGAAATGGAAAAAGGGGGAGATGGTGGGAGAGAAACTTGGCCTATTCACATACACGCCCATCTAAAACACTAGTGGTGCCCTGTACAATACACAATATTTTTAGTCCCTCCCATCATGATCTTAGCACCCCTACCATGACTCCCACCCCTATTGCCACCCTTCATCCCACCTTCACGCCGACCCTAATATTATTTGAAAATCACTTATTATGTGTTATATTAAAGAGGCTAGAAATTTTAAATTGAAGTAATTTTATGGGAGTAATTACATAAGTCACATAAAATGATTTAATTTGATGAGATCGATGGATTGTTATGAAATAATTCAAAATTAAGAAAATCTAGTAATTGTTGAGCTAATGTTTCATAAGCACTTTCCTAAATTAATTGTTATAGTAGGTAGTAAATATAGTTTTAGAGGAGAGCGAGTGTGCGCTCGTGAGAGAGAGAAAAAAAGGAGGAGATAGTGGGATAAAAACTTGAGGCAGTTGATAAATTTTAGGAGTTATGGTATTAATGAGAAATAAAATTATTCAAAAATTAAGGAATAATGACATAAAGTCAAAGCCAAATTTGACAATTTAAAAAATGAAAATTCTAAGAAAATTGTGATGGAGTTTTGGAGTTCATTCATCCCCAATACATTGCTATCTATAATGTATAGATTCATGTAATTTCGTACTATAGGTAAAGGCAAGCTGGTTCTGACTCTTTGAAAAGAATCGAGAGTTATTTGCCTCTGAAGTGAAATAGAAATGGTAAATCTCACCAGATTGACAATTGTTCTTTCAGTGTATGTATCAAAGTAAACTACAATTGAATTCAAAAAAAAAAGTGATTTTTTTCTGTTCGTCGGACTTGTTTTCAATTCTTTGGGAATTTATATTTCTAATGCAACATTCCATGACCCAAGCGTGTAGTTTTGCATCTTCCCGGGATGACCCTGCCCATGTAATTTGCAGTGGATTTCACTCTTAATGTGCAGGGGGGTAGAAGAAGAGAACTGTGGCCTGTTTTATTTCATTTTCTGTGTAGGATTTATGTTTGGGAAGTGGAAGTAAATGTTTAAATTGATGATTTAATCTTTTTATACAATGAGGTGCAAACAACATTTTTTCCGAGGGGCTTCCTAATTCCAGTAGGGAGTTTGGATAGAGAATTCATTGGTTTGGACAATTATTCCCATTTTTTCATAAGAGAAAGAAAAAGAGGAGTTTTGAACTTTATGTCAACAATGTAGAAAAATCTAAAGGAATGTATGGGTATGGCATATTTTTATATTTTGCAACATATGTGCTAAATGAAATGATCTTTGCCATTTTTTAACCTTGTAATGGATTTTTTATAAGTTGTAGTGCTGGATGGTATGACCACTTCTCATAGGAATTTTTTTTTTTTTTTGGGGGGGGGGGGGGAAGGGGAAGTGAAGGTGAAAGCTGCTAAAATACAATGTTTTCTCTATTATCCTGCGTGCTAAGTGTCCAATGGTGAAAACTGTTAAATAGTATTGCTCTGCTGCATGGTTGGTTTAGTTTAGGGTGAAGGATACAAGTATTTGTTTTTTATTCTTTCAA